TTGCACACTTTCAGAAATTAGCAAATGTTTAGAAAATACAAAAAATACTTCATTTTAAATTTGAAAGTTCAATAAAAAACAATCTGGAATAAATCATAAAAAAATTACAATTATTTTCTAAATGTTCCAAAAAAATGTGCATTCATCGAGTTTAACGTTCAAACAAAAGATAATTTTGAAATAATGTAATTTCAAATCTGTGATAATTCTTTTAATATCTCATAAATCATTTCAAATGCCTGAACATTTAGAGTTTTGTTGTCAATTAATAAGGAGTTGCATAACTAGCAAAGGTCGGGTTGACATCATAACTAGCGACTGTTGGGGTGACATCATAACTAGCGACTGTCGGGTTGACATCATAAATAGCTACTGTCGGGGTGACATCATAACTAGCGACTGTCGGGGTGACATCATAACTAGCGACTGTCGGGGCGACATCATAACTAGCAACTGTCGGGGTGACATCATAACTAGCGACGGTCGGGGTGACATCATAACTAGCGACGGTTGGGGTGAGATCATAACTGGCGGCGGTCGGGGTAACATCATAACTAGCGACTGTCGGGGTGACGTCATAACTAGCGACTGTCGGGGTGCCATCATAACTAGCGACGGTTGGGGTGACATCATAAGTGGCGACATCATAACTAGTGACTGTCGGGGTGGCATCATAACTAGCGACTGTCGGGGTGACGTCATAACTAGCGACTGTCGGGGTGACGTCATAACTAGCGACTGTCGGGGTGCCATCATAACTAGCGACTGTTGGAGTGACATCATAACTAGCGACGGTCAGGGTGACATCATAACTAGCGACTGTCGGAGTGACATCATAACTTTTTGTCGTAATTTAGCGACACCTCACTAACTAAATCTTATTTGTGTTTAACCTAGAGATTGTTTTGATTTTTTAATAGTTTCCTAAAATTTTACTGTATGAAAATTTTACTAGAAATCAAATGCTTATTTCTTGAAATATATTATTGAAATTTAGCTTAACATGGTGATTATAATTTTACACTTATAAATAGAGCATAATGATTAAATATATTCTCTCAAACAATCATACCTTGTACAAAATGGGCATTGTTGATTTTATTTTATTTTTATTTTTTTAATCTGGCCATGAGCGAAGAGAAACCGGCCTTATGGCATATCTGCTGCTTTTCAACAGAATA